GTTTGTTGTTGTTGTTTTACATTTTGACACCAGCAGGTTTTTTCTTCCTCATCTAATAATGTCAGAAAAGCCAAACCAATCTACATATCCCTCTACCATCGACATTATTTAGGGTTTATTTTTGTGGCTGTTGAGTACAAGTGTGTCATGTGTAGTACGTCTGACTAAAACATTTTTCTATCTGATCCTTAAGGAAACAGATGATTATCGATACTTTGACCCAAAGATGCTGCGAGGCAGTGAAAGGTATGAAAACAAAATCTCATCTGTAGCTTGGCAGAGCTCATCTTCTCGGTGGGTAAAATACACTCGAAGATGTCTCATCATCCTTTCCTTCTCTTTCAGCTCCATCCCCAGGAACAAGAACCCGTTTCAGGAGGTGAATTTGTGTATCTGGACCAAAGTTTGACTGATGAGATTCAGTTCAGGTTATTTCCAGGATAAACAAAAGTTGAAAGGAAACACAAGACAGACAGGAATTTCTGTTGCTGCACATGATTCTCTCATAACGCACAGTTAACTGTTTCTTAGCTGTGATGGAAGTTGCAGAGTTTCAAATCTGGAATTTTTTATGAGATTGAATTTGATTTGGACTTTTATTAATCCCGTCACCACACAATCACGGCAGACAACAACATGTAAAACAAGAGTTAAGCGAGCAAGTCCGTGGTAGATCATAAACCAGTAACTGTGGGACTAGTAATTACATTACTGTTATTACTACCAGGGGAAAATAGCCTAAGTAATTATAGATGTGAAAAAATAAGATATAATATCACAAAATTCATTTCTTGAACAAGTAAAAACATATCTGAAATTAAATGCATACATAAGTATAGTAATGAAGTAAATAATTATAAATCCTGAATATTGGAATAAAACTTGATTTCCTGCATACAATTAGAGGCGTCTACCCCTTTCAGTTCATAAAACTTTTGTCTTTGGCAGTGTTTATACTTGAAATTCATTCTGTGAAATTACTTCAGCAGCTTTTTTTAAATCATTTGCAGTCTTTCTGTCCATCACCTTCAACATATGCTCTGATATAAGCTTGATTTTTTTACCTCCTGCTGTTTCAGGCCATCGTCTTCGTAGTGGGTGGAGGAAACTATATCGAGTACCAGAATCTGGTGGACTACACCAAGGTATGGTAGTACATTTCAAAGTTCTTTTCCATATTTTAGTCTGATGTCTCTTTAGATGAATACAATGTAGTTTCATATGGGATGGGTTAAATATCAAACTAAAACTCGTAAAGTTTAATGACACTAAAACAATTTAGGTCCTTCAGTGAAAACACTGTCACATTATATAAAATAGAAGTCGTGAAAATGTATTCAAAGTCAAAGTAAACTTTATTGTCATTTCTGCTATATACAGTACAGTATATAGAGAGACGAGACGACGAGGTTCCAGTCAGTGCAAAAGAACAACAATAAATATAGGAAGAGTGAGAATAAACATATATACACTTTGTGTAAGGGGAGTAAATATACACTTTGGAGTAAAGACGGGTTAGTAACAGTCTAAAATTTACAATTGAGATTTAAAGGGACTTTGAAGTGGTTTAAAATGACCAACGAAGCAGCTTTACAGTTTACAGTGTGAAATAAAGTGACCAACATGAGCAAGTCATAACTGGGATACTAATATTCAAAGTTTGTT